AAATTGTTCATCCTTGAAAACGTGAAGTAAAAATGGGTGTGTTTGGTTCTGGTCAGCTAGCTCTTCTCATGCTGGAAGTGTAAGATGTCTGCTCCCTAGCCAAATATATTCCTGTCCCTCCCCGTGCTGCTGCATGCTGTGCATCCCAAGCAGATGCTACTTCTGCTCTTGGAGAGAAACACAGGAGTAAATTTTGTGGTGTCCTTTAGTATAACTTTTCTGTCTGGCTGTTGTGCACCCCTGGGTCTGTTTCTCTTGCCCCTCTCTTGTGTGGGGTCTCAGTCAATGAATGGGCTTCTTCACCAGTCTTTAACTTCATTAGCAGCTCTCTAATTAGAGACTGGCTAAATGAGCTAAGCTGCTCTGGTAAAAGTCACTCTTTTTTGACACTAAACTAAATCAAGCTTGAGACAAGTCTTATAAAATCTGGACTATCTTGTTTGTTATCAGAGGGGGGAAAAAAAAGTGTTCTGCTTTATTCTACTTAAAGAGCCTTGTGGTCTTAGGATTTTTTCAGATGATGAGATACATTGATGGCAAATGAGTTGCAGCCAGGTTGGGGCTTTTTTCTGTTGTGTATGTGCACAGTGTTTCTTTCACTTGTGAGTTAGGAGTGATTGTTGTGGTGGAAATAACTGCCTTCTGTGAGTCTGATTTGCTTCATCAGAATGTGTATATTTGTGTTAGAGTCTCAAGTATGTTTTGCAGCATTTGCATTCCTGGAAGCTTGATGTTACCTGATGTTCCAGGACTGTGAATATGTGAAAGATTTCTGAGAGGGGTAATACTAGTGATTGATCTTGCAGTTAAAGAAAGAACAAACTAAAATTATTATTTCTGTAATTATTCTTTATGAAAGTAAGAAAACAGTTATCAAGTGCTGTATTAGTTTATTCTACAAGGTTTTCCCCTAATCCTTTAAAATCATTCTTTGTGCTAATACTGCCCTTAATTTCATATAAAGGGTTTAAAGTGTGTAGTAAAATGTCATGTGTGGATGAGACTTACTGCTCTATCTTGTTTCTCTGACACGTGCTTGGATTGGGTATCTAGCTAGTAAGTCAGCAGCAAAATCTACAGATGTGGCAAAAGCCCAGTCCTCACCTAAGTACTCTGTTACTGGATTTTAACTCATGGCAGAGATTTGGTTTAAAAACCAATAAAAATAATAATAAAACCCCCCAGCCAAACATGAAATGGTTTCTTTAGTTGTAAAAGCTTGATGTGATGGGCAGGCTTCTTTTCTGTCCTAGAGGCATATTTCAGTTAATTTTTCTGTTGGATTTGTTTACCTCTCTGCCTATTGAAATGACAAACTGCACAGTCTCTCCTGAAGACAGCAGTTGCACAGAGGCCTGATGATTTCCTCTGCATGACTGCTGCTGCTGGATTTGTGCCACCCATTACAGCAGGTGATTGCCTCAGCACCTTCCCGTGCTTCCTTTGTGCAGTGTTTTGAAGTGGCTCTGTCAAAGTGTGCCTGGCTGACAGGTGACAGCCCACAGCTATGGAAACAGATGGTTGGCATTGCCCAGAGCCACCATTTGCTTGCCTGGGTGTTCATAAGGTAACGTCCACTGGATTTCTTGTCTTTGCTTGGGAAGCTGAAGAACAAAGTCAAGAGATTTAATTTTATTATTTTAAGAGCCCCTTTTTGTAGTGTTTTGAATGTGTAAGTTAAGGAAAATATTACCCCTTTCAATGTTATTTTTTATTCTGGCAGACAGCTGGGATAAACATTATTCAAAATTGTAACAAGTTCTATTTGTGTAAAACAGGTTATTAGAGGTCTACAGGCTCCCCTTGGGTCTCCGGGCTCTGTTGCACTTTGTTCCTGATCTTGCTTAAAACTGACTGTTATTTTCTAGGGTTGAAAGGTGTAAACTGATGAAAGGACTGCTTGCTTCTGTTTAGGTAGCACTGTAAGTGAACATCACAGTCTGTGTTAGCCAGGACCTTTGAAAGACTTTCAGGGATGCTGTATGGGTGCATGTTACTGCCCTTGGAAAAGCCTCTGCTTCAACTGAACTTCTGCAAGAAGTACTAAACTGAACAGAACTCGGGGTTTCTGATGTACAGATTGTTACTGTGAAGTGTTCCTGCTTGCCCTACCCTTACCACAACTGCAGTGAATGGTGTTGCCATCTTCTGCTGCAGTTTGTTCACCAGCCAGAGGCTTCCGAATGGAAATCATCTCAGCCATCAAAAGATGATGCTTCTTGGGGTGGGAAGGAGATACTGGAAGTTGTGTGTAGTAAATGTATGCTTCCCAGCTATTTATTTAAGACCAGAAGAGTTAGTTCAGTCTGCCCTCACCTATACATCAGTCATTCTGAAGAAAACTCATATGCATCTCCTCCTGCTAAATAACTGGGGAGATCCCCACATGTGTTGGGAAGCATTGACTGCATCATGTCTGATGCTTGTTAACTGGCTTATGTTGGCATTTGCATCTAATGTCTGTGTTTGTTGGTACTTAGAATTATTTATGCCTGGATTTATGTATTTTTATTAACTTCTGCCTTTCATAATTATATGGGTAGCTTCATTTCTAGGGTTTATTTTTATATGTGTGTATATATACATATATAAAAAATAATGCATTATAATATAATAGAATCTGAAGTTTTTTTAAATACTTTTTGTGTTTACATCTCTGATTAAGTAGCAAAACTGCCTCTAACATAAAAAACAGTTAGTGCCTCTGCTGCAAGCCTAATGTTTGTGCTCTGAAAACCTTGGAGAACATTGTAGTTCACTTAAGGTCTCTGAATGTGTTCATCTTCCCTGTCATCTTCAGTCAATCAACAGGAAAATATTGTAATTTCAGCAGTTAAGGGACAAAGAGCTGGTAATACTGGGGATGATTTTTCCAGGGTAGGTTGTTTTTTTGTTCCTGTTGGGTTTTTTTTTGGTTTGTGTTTTTTGTTTGTTTTTTTTTTTTTTTAATAGGACTATTCTAGCAATGTTTTGTTCCACAGAATTTTTGTAAGTGAAACCTATTTCCAGCCAGGCTTCTGATATATTTTTGTTGTTAATAAAATTAAAAAAAAAAATCAAACCTTTTAAAATGGTGCATTCTTGTTTTCAGCCTGTTTTCTGATGTTTTTGCAGTTTATTCCCATTATGCACTGCAGTACACTTGTCTGTTAGAGACTATCTGTGCATGAAAGACACAATCTTGGTTGAATTTTATATCTTTGAGAATCAGTGATTATGGAAATCTTTAATGTGCTGCTTTTCTGTTCTGCTTGCCCTGGGGATATTATCAGAGGCTGTGAGGCTTGAGACTGCTTACATCATTTTGTGTACATAACTATGGTGTTCTACCTCTCTGTGCCAGTGGTAATAAATACCACACACAGTGGATGAAAAGGGTTTTATTTGATTAAATGGCTGTACTTGCAAGTGATGTGAATCTTTGGAGTGTGGCTTTGTTTTGGGAGCAGAAAGAATTGTTCCAGCTCCAGTGTTTTCAGTGTTTGCTGCCCCAGTTGAGTCCCTCTCAACTTAAAAGTGGGCAAAATATTTTTAGTGCTCCGTGTGCTGTCTCCATATTTCAAGCCATGGACTAGACTGAAATAGGAACCTTGGTGTTTTCACTCCTCTTCACAGACAAATAAGGACATTCTGTTAGCATCTGCTCCCTGAGCAGTTTACACACGCTGCACAGCGTGCTCCTTGGCTGTGCCTCCAGCTGGAGGTGTGGGGGGATCTCCAGAATTCCTGTGGGTAGAAGGAAAATTCCAAATTGGGCAGCTCCAGCCCAGTTGGAGGCAGAACTGTGCTGCACCAGTGGCTGTTGGTACCTTCCCTTCCTGAGGTGCCAAAACACGTGGAACAAGGAGGATGGAAGATGGAGATGGTCGTGCTCTTCTGGTGTCTCCTCATCCTTTGAGTTTGGCAGCAATAAATTCTGCTTTAATACTGGAAGCAATATCTAGAACAACGTAAAACATCTTTCTGTCAGCTTGATTTCCTTCTTAAATTGGAAACTCACTTTTTTTTTTGCAGTTATTCAAGATTTTGTGTAAATCTGTGGAGTAAATGGATCAATTGTAGGGTTGCATCATTGTTTCTGCACTATGTAGACAGTCACCTGTGTCACAGTTATATTTGAGATACTGATTGCTCTAGCAAGATATCTTATTCTGGGATTTCATAACTGGCTGTAAAGCAGTGATTGAAAACCTCTCTGTACAAAGTTAACTGCAGAAAAAGGGAAATTGCTCAAGCCCTCTGAGGATCTTGTTTGTCATCTTAATCTCACACATCTGTTTTTGAAGAAACTGTTTCAAGGCACTGCATTTTAGGCTGCCCTTTTCCCAGCCATCTTACATAGAAGCTCAATCAATGTGTGGCAGTGAGGGGAAGGGGCACATTTTAACAAGGTCTTTCTGTTGCAGATGGTGTATTTTGTTTACCATAAGCATTGCTTAATTCTTATCCAACTGGTGTTACTGTAGAAAGAACTCAGCTCGTTAACCACTGTAAAACAGTGGTAAACTAGCTCTAAAGCAGTGTTTTGGGATGTTATTATCTGGAACCTGTTTTTATTGTTAATTACATTTTTTGAAGAGGTGGGCAGGAATGACTTAAGATTAAAAAGCAATAAAACCATGAAATTCCTTCTCTAATATTCCTTTCCAAACTATCCTAGGCACCTGCTACACATCAAACTCCATTAACATTAATTAGCCATGAATCCTGGAGCCCATTCCCCTTTTTCTGCCTTCTCAGTGCTTTGTGTGTTCTCCTGAGCATCTGCTCTTGCATACGGTCAGGAAATGCTGCTCCAGGCTGTGGATCTTCCCCAAAGACTCCCATTGTATGCACCAAGTCTGTGTAGTAGCCAAGAGTGACAGCATCCTGAAATAACACATTCTAGGGGGAAATTTGTTAGGGTTTGTATTATGGCAATTGTTGATTCAATAATCTAAAATAACACTTAGTGCTTGTTACTTTTTTTAACTTCATATTTTTATTCTTTTGGCTTTCAGCTCAGATCGACTGATAGAAGAAACAATAAGGTAGGAATAAACTTAGCAATTTACATTATTTTCTGTACAATCAGTGTTTACATTAAATTGTGTCTAAAGGTATCAGTCATTTTATTCATACAATAACTATTGTTACTCATAGGCAGCGTTACAATGAAGCTGTGGTGGAGTTTGTGTTTTTTTTTCTATTCCATGTTGCCATAATGGTATTGCTTAAATATTTTCATCATCCCAGTTTAGAGAATTTGTATTTCTGTTCAAAGGTGAGTAGCCCCTATAGAAACAAAGGGAATGACTGAGCAGAGAGGATCTCAGGCTGGGCTGTTGAGGGGTATTCCAGTAGTCAAGCTGTTTCTTCCCACAGTGACACTCTTCTACAACATGATTTTCTGTAATCCTTCAACATATTCAGCACTCTAGTGTGCAGCTGATAGAGGTTTTACTACAAGGGCTTGAGAGGCTGTTGCTGTTGTATATTTTTTTTTTTATTTGTTTGGGTTTTTTTTTACATGGTTCAAATACTTGGGCGATACCTTCTCTCATACAGAAATTTCAGAACCATAGCATCATAAATTACTTTTATCATCTGTGCCCTTCCCAATCTTCCATTGAACTCTGGGATTTTGCAAACCAATAATTCAGAGTGCCCGACTTAATGGTTTTAAATTTTAGATTATTGCTTTAAAAAAAAAAAAAAAAAGAAGAAAGCAAGCAAGATACGCTTTCAGATAATGCATGTATTGGCATAAGTGATCAAGAAGAGTAATTAGAGGTGCAGCAAGGCTCTGTGTCCATTAAGGGCTGGCTAGCTTAACTATGCACAGTGGGATCAGTATAATTAACATGGTGAAAGAATGTGTTAAACCACATCAATGTGCAGTGTTGAACCAGAAGTGGTCGGTACAGTAATCTCTGAAAACGTGGCTATAATCTCACCACAGCCTTATATTTGGCCAACTTAGCACAGTTATTGTGTATATTTGTTTTAATTTAGATTCTAATCCTTCCCTGATGAAAGATCCTCTCCTTTAGCGCCATCCTTGTAGCCCTAGTTTTCCATCTCGCACAAAGCTCGGTATTTGTTGAGTCTCTTACTCACTGCCACTCCAGTAACTAGAGCATTAAACAGCATATGGTGATTTATTAAGCTTAATATCCTGTAAAACGACTTGTATTTTATCATTGGAGCTCTTTGCCTAGACTCTTGATCATGCACCATCTGAGAAGCTGAGAGAGAGAAAGGGGTGTGTGTGTGTGTGTGTGTGTACACCTCTGTCCTTCCCTTTAATAAATGAACTCCGATTTTTAAGAGGCTGGATTTCAGCACTCCTTGCTACACCATTTATTATCTGTAGTAAACAAATTTCTCGTTGCAGTTGTTACCAAAAATGTTCTAAATTTCTTTTTGCAGAAAAAGAGCTTATTTAGTAACCACGTTGAGCAGGAAATGTGATTTCATTTCTATCATCGTAATTGAATTCTGACTGTTAAAACCAGGGTGATTTTTTTTGTTGTTGTTTTTTTTTCTTGTCATCTCCAGTAATTGCAAGTATCTAGGAATTACATTAATTACTGCTAAACCCTGCTGCATTTTAAGTGATTTTACCAGACAGAAGTTTACCCATCCTCTGATTATCAATGGCTTTTTCTATTGTAAACCAAGTGAAAGAGGGAATTGTGCAGGGGAAGCTGTTTGACTGCAGATTACTTGAGTGAAGTGAGATGTAATTGGCTTATTCTGGCTACTAATACTGCTCTGCCTTCAGTGTTTCAATTGCTCTTGTTCATTACTCATTATTTGGGTGTAATTCAGGAAGTTGAGAAGTCACTATTTTGGGGGTTGTTATGCAGCAGTGATTCTAAACACTGGGAAGTGTTTTTCAGTGGGTGCGGAGGCTGCTGGCGAGGAGCTGCATTCTGGGCACCCCACTGCTCAGCTCTCCACACTTACCACTGGCTGTGAAACCCTGCCTCTAATCCTTCCTAGAGAAGAGAACCAAAGGAGTGCAGAGCTTGACTCTTCCCTCCTCCTCAGGAGCCACCACACCCAGGAGAGCCTAGATGGACCCCTGGGCTGAAGTGGTGCAGTAGCCAAAGCGAGGAGTGGGGCTCTCCTTCCAGATGTTGTTAGTACTCAACTTGTAATCAATTTTTAAATGAATTACGTGACACGGGTTCTTACTGCAGCATATTTCTTTGCAGAAACGAGTGGGATGTGATACTTTGTACTGCAGTTCTTTTGGAACAGCCTTTGCTTCTCTTGGCCAGATTTAAATCTAAGCATAGCTTTTGCTTAATATGTTTGGTGTTCTCGGGTTTTCATTTTCAAACATTATCACTTCTCCAAAATAGCAAATGATTTATTTCTTGTTTTCCAACAACTTGCACTTTTAGGTTGGCTCAGTTTGAATTTTTTTTTTTTTATAGTTTTACATGTAGAGTCTGACAAGTCCGTAGGATTTTATTGTAATCCTGTTTTTGAGGCCTGATTCAGGCTGGTTTGTCAGTGTTTATCTATTAACAGAGCAGACTGTGCCACTTCTGAAGCCAGGCTAGAACTGTAGATTTAGTTTAATAATCTATTTTCTATTACATTAAAAAAAATATATATTTTCCATATATATTTGGGGTATTTCTTTAGGTGATAATTAGGATTTAATAAAAGGGAAAATTCACTCCCATTGAATCTTGACTTCACAGAATGGAAATACATGAGTTAGATTTTGAGGCAAAATCACATTTCTGAGGAAATGTCCCTTTTGTTTTCATCTTGGGCTTCATCAAAATACACACATGCATATACATACGTATTTCCATCTATAAATATACAAAGAATAAGTAAGATAATCAGAATTTTTACCAATTTAAACCAATTTAAAACTAGAGCCTGCATTTCTATGCAGAGTCACGGAGTCCATTCCCTTAATCATAGACATTGTGAATTTAAATGAGCAAGTATGATTCATGGAATACAAAAACGAAGCAGAAGTTCCAGTAATACATTAATTATTTGATTTTTAAAAACATGTTTTGCTCCTGTAGAGCTTCGTTTGAGTTCATCGGTGTAGGTTTGACTGAGCTGTCTCAATGGATAAAGCAAGGAGTTGACTTTTTGGTACATCTCACTTGCTCATAGGCTGGATGTGTATGGCTGCTGCATGGGGAAAAAATACTCATCAGCTTAAACATTTATCTGGGTAAAAACACTTTGCTTCCAAGTCAAGCAACATTAAAAGTGTCTCTCTGCAGGTTAGACTAGGTGGTTGGTGATGGCTGGGAGAATTTATTGCTCTGTACTTCTTTATGCCTGTGAATACTGCAGACTGTGTACAAGTATCAGTTGTTTTACTTTTGAAGAGCAATTTGGATGCTTGCATACCCACAGCACTGCTGAACATTCAGGGACAAACTTGAAATGTAAGTGAAATTTTGAGGAAATATGGCCACAAGCACAGGAACTTGAGATATTCCTGGTGATTTGTGGAAGTGATGAGTGGGCTCTTTGTGGCTTTGACCTCAGGCTTACCTAGAGGAGATTTAATCAGTACTGCAGCAATCCTAATGTTGTACTTCAGCAAGGGTTTCATATTAAACAGAGAGCAGAATACCATCTGGTTTCAGAAACTTGGTTTATACCCAACTCCAGTAGCTCAAGCCAGTGCAGCACTGAGAATAGCCCATGCTAGTTTCCAAATAAAACATTACATCAGGGTCACCTTGATTCCAGTAAGAAGCATTTAATCTTTTATCTTAAATGTTGTGTAGAAGTTTCCAAATGTAAGAAAAAAGTATTCTTGATCTGGGGAGATTATGGTGTCGAGGAACTAAATGGGGCCAATACTGTGAATGGGAAGAATATGATTATTATTAGTTTTTTTAGAAATGCATTTGTCAGTGAAGAAATGGCAACAGTAACTCAATGAGCATATGTTAGGGATGGGAATGAAACCAAAACTGTCTAATGCAGGATATGAGGAAGCTGCAGTGCTTCAGACTGTACAAGACCCCTCAGTGGACCAGTCCCCAGGAGCTGTGTGTTTTCTCCTGGTGTTTAATTTAAATCTCATTTGCAAGCACAAAGGCTTAGGTAAAGTAGCTCATGTTTTGAGTAATCTAATTATACATGAAGAACAGGGCTTTTTACTTGAATTTTGGCTTGTTACTGATAGCTAGAATCCAGTTAAACTCTTGTTTGTGGATATCATAAATACATTTCATTACTAGACCATAGCATATTAAAAATGGTAATCTCTACAATTTTTTTCTTCAGAGCTCTTCAGTAAAACCTAACCCATTGAAAAAAAAATGTTCAAAATGCTGGATAAAAGAAATGAAGTTTTCAGTCTTGTAATATGTAAACTTACACAGCAGCATCCTGCCTTTTTATATGAAAAGGGCAGTTTCAGTCCTCAGATGTTAAAGCAGGAACCTTGTGTTCCATGATAACCTGGAATAGTTATTTCCAAAGGCATTTTGGAGCTGTCTTAGGAACACTTTATATCCTGGCAGTCATCTTGTATTTTCACTTCTGTAAATTAATGGATGTCTTAATGAGTCATTGGATGCATCTTATGAAAACATGTGGCTTAATTTGGGAGTGCTCTGAGAAATGCTGTATTAAAACTTCATCTGGAGAAGTCTCAAGTCACTGTGGGGGTGTAAGGTAAGAAGCTGTAGGTTACTGAGCAAGCTTCCCTCTGTACAGATAGGAATTTTTTTTTCTCCCAGCTTGGTTCCTGGTAGTTAAAAATTTCCTGAGTGCTCTTCTTGGTAACAGTGGAATGTTTTTACAAGGTTTTTTTTTTCCCAGAGCCTACACCTTTATTTGCTGTTTCTCTAGAGGTGAATGAGCCTGTGCAGTTTGTTATGACAAACCTATTGCATTTGTGGTAGCTACCTGAAATACCACCTGGGGCTACAAGTGGTAGCCTACCCTTTCATTTTCCACCCTGTAACACTTGGGTTTATGAGCTGCAGAGTAACTCAAGGTAGAGAAAATTTTTTTCTTAGCTGAGTAGTTCTTTAAAATCTTCATTTAAATATTTTTAAGAGCACAGTTGTTTTTTTTCCAGCTTCCAGAATTTAAGTTTGAAAGGGGAAATGCTGGTTTATATTCACCTGTGTTGTGTTCGTGTCTTTGGGTAGAGTACATGCAGCTGGGCCATGGATTAGTAAAGACATGGAGTATGGAAACTTAGATACCCAGGGATGATATTCTTAATTAGGACCAAAGCTCAAAAACATATTTTACCTGTGCTGTGGCAGGAGCACCATTTGATGTGATTTCATTATCCACCAGCTCCCTCCACTCCAGCCTACAGAGAACAGTGAGGTTGGGCTTGCTGGGAAGAGGCATGAATGCAGGAGAATCCCAGCTTAGCCCACTCACCTGGAGGCAGGGGACAGTAGTAATCTCAAATCAAAGCAAGTAGATCCCAACACTTCATTGTATTTAAATGTCTTTCATGGGGGATGTGTCCCCCAGCTTGACTGTCCACAAACCATCTGTGTGAGGCTCTATGAGCTGTATCAGGCCTCAGACTGCACTTATGTCTACTCTCAACCAGCACGTTCACTTTGCAGATTGATTTTTAATTATGAGTCAGCTTCTATTTGCTTAATACTTCTGTAGCTGTCATGTTCTGATGGCAGACAGGAAATTTCATATACTCTCTAGAGTGAAAGTAAGTATGGGGCTTCTGTGATTAAACATGCTTCTACATTTAAAAACCTATGCCAGAAGAATACCTTTAGGTTTGATTGTAATGGAGCACCATTTTTTTTTGTGTTTGGGCTGGGGGAAGACATGCCCAAACTTGGCTCGTTTCAAGAAATTGCAATGACTTCAGTTGTTGAATGTTTTCTGGTTTTATATAAGCCATTAAGAGTAAAGGATAGAGGTTAATGGAAAAGATGTGGTTTCATTCATATTGCTTCACCTCATTCATTGTTCTCTAAAGAAGCATTGCCTGCTTGCTTTCCTCTTGTTTCAGCTGTAGATTATTCTTAGCACCAACAACTTGATCCACTCTTCTTCTTTCTCCAGCATTGCCATGGCAACTAAAGAAAATATGACTTCGCAGAGAGGGATGTTGAAGTCAATACAAAGCAAGATGAATACCTTGGCTAGTATCCTTTCCTAAAAATCTGTGCTGCCAGTGCTGAAGAGGAGGTGTGGTACAATTTTTCACTCTGTCATGTGGGGATCAAAGTGCTTTGCAATGTCAATGGCTGTATAACCACTAGTGGTATTGTCATTAGTGACAAACACTTTTTTTTTTCCAACCACACTTGGTAATCTGACTGAAGCATCTTAGAATCATAGAATCATTTAGGCTGGAAAAGACCTGTAAGATCATCAGCTCCAACCATGAACCTAACAGTGCCAAGTCTGCTGCTAAAGCGTGTCCCTCAGCACCACATCTACATGGCCTTGAAACACATCCAGGGATGGTGATTCAACCACTGCCCTGGGCAGGCTGTTCCAGACCTTCACAACCCTTTCAAGGAATAATTTTTTCTAGCATCTTAAAGTTGAATGTGATGAATAAGTTTTTACTCAAATTTGAATAGTGCTTATAGATCAATGTGGCTTAATTTTCAGGCAGAGTTCTGCAATGGCATTTTACAGCCTTCCCTGCTATACGTTTTTGTAAAAGTATAATTTCATTTCACTTCTTGCTTTTGAGACTGTCTGGAGCTGAAGCTTGACAT